TGGAGCATGTTGGAGATAAAAAGCAAAATGTGCCCATGAACAACTTTTCTTAATAACATTTTTCAGTATCATGAACAAAAAGGTTACTTTACCTGAACTAAAAACAGTTTTCTCTTCACTATCAAGGCCGAGTTGATTTTCAAAATATGAAAATATACTTAAAATTCTCTCCGCACCAAGCAGGGCTTAATTCCTCAGCCTTAAGATAAAATTCAAAAATTTTTAAGTCATTATATCTCTTGTAACATCTATCCTGGGACACACTGTATGTAATGTAATGTAATGTAGCCGCACGTCTTTTAAGACGGCTAAACTCGAATGATTTTATTCTCGGTTTAGTGTTAGTTCTAGTTTTACACTAGCACTATCACTAGAACTAACACAGGACCTGGAACTAGAATCATTCAGACATGTTGCATTTTATGTGGAACGAAGTAAGTCGGTACGCTCTGGTTTCTATATATTTTTATATATTGCATCTTAAGTGCAAAATTCACTGTATACTATATTCCATACATAATGGGTACCTGTATTTTGGGAGAATACGTTAGAAGTTGCTACATCCACAAAAAAAGCTTCTTGCAGAAAGTATTCGACGTTTCTTATTCGGAAACCATCGTGATTCCCCCACTTTAAACTAATAGTTAGCGCGCATGCGTCAAGGTGATTTGGTAGTTGTGGAGGGGCGTGGTGTGACGTCAAAGATATAAGAAATCCGTGTTAGTTGAAATTACTCCAATATGTATTTAAATTATATTTTATTGAACTCATGATGAATGTGCTTGTAATCTTGTTCAAAGTAGAGTTGCACTAATATTATCATTATTTTCTTGTTATTGTTTTTTTTTTATAATTTTTGGATAATAATCACCTATTTTGTGTCTAAGTAGCGCATCTTTTTTATCGTTCTTAATTCTTAGTTTTAATTAAATTAAATTAAATCTAAAAATATGAATATTAAAACTAAGATGATGGAATTTTTAACACAACCCCAACTTTTTACACTTTCTTTTAGAGAATTAGAAGTTTTTTTAATAACTAATTTCTAAAAAAATTTTAAGAAATAAAATTGCAAAGATTTGGGATTAAGTTTACTCTTCAAGATATAAATATAAAACGTGACATCTTCGGGATTTTTTTTTGATTATTATATTTGTTCTTGGATTTTTAACAAAAAAAAAATGGTGCTATTTGAGGAGCCTGATATCGCCTGTTATCTTATTGCGTTATTGTTAGGCTGTATTTGCGAGTTGGATTCCGGAAATCACAGAGCTGGCGGCAAATCGACCAAAGTACGGAGGAAAATACAGCAAAGATGTTAGACGAAGGTACAAATTAAAAAGAATATTAAAATAAAATGTTATAAGCAAAACAAATTTTCCCTTTAAAAAATATTACATAGTTTTTTAATTTTTAGTGAATTTTCCCCGTTTTTTTTTTATTTGACAGTAACATTTTAACACTTAACACTTTATACACTTTATTTAATACGCTTTAATGTGTTAAGTCTTAGCTTCCTCAGCTAATTATTTAAATTAAATGGAATCTTTGACTACTCTTAAACTTTTTTTTTTGTTTCTTCTCGTTCGGAACACCTTGTAGTACAAAGTTTTTTTATTTTGCTGTAATAGAATACTTTTTTATTTGAGGAACATACAAAAATATCTGTGTAACTAAAAAATTAGTTAAGATATTTTTGTAATTAGCAAACTGAGAAATGAGATTTTTTATTTTTTTATCTTATTTTGAATAAATTTAGGCGAGTCGAAATCAAAAAAAACAGCATGGCTAGCAAAAAGTATTATTTTAATTTTTTTTTCTTGGTTATTTTGAAATAAAAATTGCGAAACTCACATTCTGAGCGCTTCTTTATTCAAATTTAAAGCTTCCTCATTTAGCGAACAGAATGTTTCCTTATTATTTTTGATTTTTGAATCTTATTGAGCCTTGGTACTAAAAGAAATATATTTAGATTATTAACTGAGGATATTGTATGCTTAATATAATAATTTCTGTAATCTTTTTTATTATAATACAATATCTTTGGTTTTAGCCCTGGTATTAACCAATTTATTTTTTGAAACGTAGAATATCTTTAGTAGCACTTTGAAGAAAGCCTGCACAGCCTGTTTCCGCCACGAACGATAAACGTTCAACGTGATTTCTCATCGATTTTTTTAAATCGTTGAGTTAATTTTTGTGCAGGATTAAAATTTTTCTTTAAATCATTTCGATAATTTTTTTTAAATTATAAAGGTAAGTTTAAGAATAAAAAATTGAAATATTAATCATCGCGATTATTATAATCTTAGTAACGTTATTAGGCTCCTCTAATTTGTACCAAAATTTTAGAAATCGTGATTTTTTTTAATTAAAATATTTACATTACAAAAAAAATCCTTTCGATTCCAAAAAAATCCTCCACTTTGTATCTGTTAATATCCCTTGCTTTTTTTTAAATTTTTTTTAAAGAAATCATTAAAATATAAAAATTAAGAATTTAGATTCATTTTTTGTTGGGATTATTTTTTTTTAATTATTTTTAATGATGTTTTGAGTTGAAAAATTCGAAGATAAAAATGCTAAACAGAAAAATTGATTCTTTTGATCCTAAAAATTATCTCTGAATCTTTATTCTTCGACGTTTAGGCGATTTTTGCAAGTTGTATTCCTGAAATCATAGATTTGATTGGAACTAGACCCAAATATGGGGGAACTTTGAAGAATGAACGTGGCCGTAGGTGAGAACTTAACCAAAAAAAGTGATCTATATATATGAACACAATTTATGAATCGATTTTAATGAATTTTATGAAAATTCAGTCCAAACCCGAAATAAAGAAAAGAATTTTTTTGTAAAATTCATTTAAATGCGATTTTGACTTAGAACATTTTTATTATTTTTTAAATTTTTGTTTTAACTTCATATCCATGTTTATTATTGTTTCTTAAATGTTTCCTGCACGCTTTGTGAATAATCGAGAAATACCTCACCAAAAAAAGTCTATATAAATCTTTTTTTTTAGATTAAAACAAATTTTTATTAAAAAAATTGTTCTTCATCTATATACATGTTTGTTGTTCTTGTTTTCGTGTTTTGGTGTTTTTATATTATAAAATACTTTTACTCCCTATATTCTTCCTTAATAATTACTCTACATGTGTCTCTGTTAGATCGTTTGATATTTTTATTTGATTTTTCTTAAAAACAATTTGTTATAAAAACAAATACTCGATCATAATTTCAAAAATAATAATAATCGTGCTAGATTTATTTAAAAGGGTGGTTGCATGTTCTTTAGCATGACCCACTCCGACGAAAAAATAAAAAAAAACAGTTCGTGGCCAGGCTGTGAATGTAGGCACAATTTTTCACGTTTTTTTTAACCCAATTATTAAATGAAATTAACTTTCCCGATTAGCTTTTTCATTGAATTGACCGTTTAACGCACAATTTTTTTCGTAGACTAGATATCTCTAATTATTGGTTTCAACGTAATTATTTTCACTTTTTTTATTACAAATTATTAAATTTTATGAAAAATCGTTTAATTTAATACCAAACTCGACCTATTTCAGTTAAAAATATCGTTGGAAACTAAGATATTTAACAATTTTAATTAATAAAACAATTGAAGGGCGGATAATTAATTAAAAAATCGCAACTTTATTGTTTTTAACGCGATTATAACCGAGTTTAGTATCAAATTAATCGGAATTTAATTTTCTATTTAATTTTATTAGAAATAACCCAATTAATCGTGATTTTAATTAATTAATAATTAACTAAAAATGATTAATCGATAAAAATCGATTTCTATCGAATATATTCGTGTTGTAATGAACATTTGATTGAATTAAAGTATTTTAATTATATTAATTAATTAAAATCTCGATTTTTCTCAGTTCTTTTCATAAAATCGAATAGAAAACTAAATTTTCTTTAATTCGATACCAAACTTGACCTATTTCGGTTAAAAATAACCTTTGAAATTAAAATATTTAACAATTTTAGTTAATAAAAATAATAAGCATTTTATTGTTTTTAATATTTACAATTTTTATCCCCTTAATACATTCTAATATACAGTGTGACCCGTTTGAAAGAGGAACACCNTTTCCCTCCCATCTCCAGTTTTCTGTTCTTTTTCTCCCACCCTTACAAAACTTCATCATCCTTGTCTTCCCCACATTCACTTCCAGCCCCCTCCCCCTAAAATATCTTTCCATTGTCTTTATCATATCTTTCATCTGCGGCGGAGATGATTCTCTCGCCATGACCACAATGTCATCCGCGTATGCTAACATATGCACCTTTCTACCTCCCACCACCAACCCTCCCATTTGCCCCTTCCCCAATCTATCCTCCAGGTCCGCCGTATACAGTGCAAACAGACTGGACATCCCTGCCTCAGTTCCTTCGTCGTCCAGAACACGTCGCTCAGCTTATCTCCCACGTTTATCCTAGCCATAGTCTCCATGTATATTTCCTTCACTCTCGCAATTAGGTGTTCCGTGATCCCCCTCCTCCCCATCTCCTCCCACAACTTTCCCCTATCCACCTTATCAAAAGCCGCCTTCAAATCTATAAATAGGGCGTACAATTTCCCTCCCTTCTTATCCAGCTCTCTATCTGCCAGATGCTTCAACACGTACACGTTGTCGATTGCTCTCCTTCCCTTCCGAAAGCCTGCCTGCCTCCATCTCCAACTCCATCTCCTCCTCCAGTCTTCCCAGCAGTATCTTCGTGTATACCTTGTATGCCGAGTCTAGTAGGTTAATTCCTCTGTAGCTGTCTACCCTTTCCTTATTACCCTTTTTATATACTGGGCAAATTACCCCCACTTTCCATCCCTCCGGACAATTTTAGTTAATAAAACAATTGAAATGCGTTTAAATAAATAAATAATCGCAACTTTGTTGTTTTTAACGCGATTATAGCCGAGTTTGGTATCAAATTAATAGAAATTTTATTTCCTATTTAACTTTATAAGAAATAATCAAATTAATGAAGATTTTAATTAATTAATTTTTAACTAAAATAATTAAAAATGATCAATTTATCGATAACGATCTATTTATATCAAAAACAATTAAGTTTTTACAAACATTTAAGGAAGTAAAAAATGTATTAATTAAATTTTCCTTAATTTTATACCAAGCTCGGCCTATTTTGATTAAAAACATCTTAAGAAAATAAGATATTTAACAATTTTAATTAATAAAACAATTGAAGGGCGGATAATTAATTAAAAAATCGCAACTTTATTGTTTTTAACGCGATTATAGCCGAGTTTAGTATCAAATTAATCGGAATTTAATTTTTTATTTAATTTTATTAGAAATAACCCAATTAATCGTGATTTTAATTAATTAATAATTAACTAAAAATGATTGATTAATCGATAAAAATCGATTTCTATCGAATATATTCGTGTTGTAATGAACATTTGATCGAATTAAAGTATTTTAATTATATTAATTAATTAAAATCTCGATTTTTCTCAGTTCTTTTCATAAAATCGAATAGAAAACTAAATTTTCTTTAATTCGATACCAAACTTGACCTATTTCGGTTAAAAATAACCTTAGGAATTAAAATATTTAACAATTTTAGTTAANTATTTTAATTATATTAATTAATTAAAATCTCGATTTTTCTCAGTTCTTTTCATAAAATCGAATAGAAAACTAAATTTTCTTTAATTCGATACCAAACTTGACCTATTTCGGTTAAAAATAACCTTTGAAATTAAAATATTTAACAATTTTAGTTAATAAAACAATTGAAATGCGTTTAAACAATTAAATAATCGCAACTGTGTTGTTTTTAACGCGATTATAGCCGAGTTTGGAATCAAATTAATAGAAATTTTATTTTCTATTTAACTTTATAAGAAATAATCAAATTAATGAAGATTTTAATTAATTAATTTTTAACCAAAATAATTAAAAATATATATCAAAAACAATTAAGTTTTTACAAACATTTAAGGAAGTAAACAATTGAAAAATGTATTAATTAAAATTTCGATTTTTCTTACTTCTTTTTATAAAATCGAATAGAAAATTAAATTTTCCTTAATTTTATACCATTTTGATTAAAAATATCTTAAGAAAATAAGATATTTAACAATTTTAATTAATAAAACAATTGAATTGTGCTTAATTAATTAAAAAATTGTAACTATGTTGTTTTTAACGCGATTATAAAGTGTGCTTAATTACCAGAAATTTATTTTTTTACTTAATTTTATAAAAAATCCCAAATCTATTTTAATCAATTAATTCGAGTATAATCTTTAAAAATAATAAGAATTATATTAAATTAACTAAATCGTTTTTTAGTACGTTAAAGGGTCAATTCCTTTTTTAATCTGATGTCATTAATGAAATAACTTAAATTATTCAAAATTAAGCGAATTTTTGCATGATAAAATTGAATTATGAATCCCCTTGAAAAGAACAATCCTAAGAAAATAATTTTTGCACCTATTTTTTAGTCCTTTGAGAGAATTTTAGCGAAAGAACTTAGTTGATAGGCATGTAGAACGTACTTTTTCGAGATTTTCGAGTTACGTAGTAAAAACGCTTCGAGTTTTATCCCTGAACCCTCTTTCCGGCTTTTTACTTATAAAACTTTACTAATACAAACCTTTTTTTATGCCACTCACCCAGACACATCGTTGTGTGTGGACATATCACCTACGAATCGGTATCCCATTTCCTCAAGGATTTTCTACACGAAGATCGAGAAGATGTCGACGTTGAGGTCGTCTTTTTACACAGGTAAAATTTTATTTTTAATTTTCGCTTAAATTATTATTAGGATTTTCAAAAACAATTTTTGATTATAACAAGAAATTAAAAAAATAAATGGATAAAGAAGGAAATTGTTTTTGTGTGTTGCTCGAAAAATATTTTTTTAGAAAAGAACCAGATCTGGAACTCGAGGGTCTTCTGAAGCGCCACTACACCACCGTGGAGTTTTTTCAAGGAACAATGATGAACGCGGTTGACCTTGAACGCGTCAAGGTACTTCCCCAAAAAAAATAAAAAAACCAAAACAAAGATACTAAAGAACAAAGCCTCTGTGCATACTATTTTATTTTATTTTTTTAATTAAATAACAGTGCCTCTTACAAAAAGATAACGAGATCGTGGGCTTCTTTATTTATATCATTGCCTTTTGAGCAGCACTATACATTATTGAAAATATAATTATGAATTTTTCGAACATTATTTTAGTAAATATTTTTTAAATTATATCTTTCAAAATTGATTCGAAAAGTTCAAAAAGTACCTTATTTTCTCGCAGAATTAGTGCAATTTGGGTTAGTCGCCTCTATTTATACTCTTATTGCATGGTGTAATCAGATTTCCGCTAAATTTTTTTTGGTTTTGGAACGATGGAGGAAAGCGAGACCATCCCGGAAAAATAACTGGATTAATAGGAGGAGAACGAAAATTCTTTCTATTAAAAAGAAAAAAACTTTTCTTTTTTTATTACCTTGTTTTTGGAGTAGTATTTTTTTTTCTGTACTTTTTTTTGGGTAACTCATTGGAAATGTGTAGGAAACCACCCGATCTTGAATTGGAAGGTCTATTCAAGCGACATTTCACCACAGTCGAATTCTTCCAGGGGACTATAATGAACCCTATTGATCTTCAAAGGGTAAAGGTAAGATTATCAATGTAAACCCGGGACTATTCAATAATTCCAAAAAAAAAAAGAAAACATGAATAAACCCGTTTATGTGATTATTTTAATTTTTTAACGCGTTTTCTTTTTGATTTTATTTTTTCTTTGATGTTTTGACTGAATAAAATACTGCAAAAATCATTTCTTCGATTTATAGACGTACGTTTTCTTTGAAATAGATTAAAATCTTATTATTAGATTAAAATGAAGAATGGCATAGAAACATATCACCTAAAATGATGACCCGTTTCAAACTGCAATAACTTTTGAACGTATTGCTCGATTTGAATAAGGTATTTTTTATTTGAAAGGTCTACCCTTTGCAGGCCTTCCCCATTTTGGCGCTCTTCAATTTCAGCAGCGGTGGTGTATAACCTTAATGCGTGTTTTCTTTCTACACTTTGAAGCTCGTTCTGTAAGGAGCTTGTAGTCTCGTCTGTTCTGATCACCTCTGTTTTTGTTTAAGTTTCTATTGTTGTTACGTTTCTATTATTAAGAGTTTATTGTATACAGTAATTGTTTACAATTCTTTACATTATTCAAATATTACTTTCACTCTCTACCCTCTTCCTCCATTTCCACGCCCTCGGCTCCTCGGCCCAATCATCCCCTCACCCATCCCTTTGTCTCCTCACCCCCATCACCATTCTCATCCATCGTTTCCCCTCTCCCCCCTCTCCTAAGATCTGCCTTCGGTCCATCTCCTCCTCCCTCAACTCACTGCACCCATTCAGCATGTGTTCTAACGTTTCCCATTCCTCCCTGCACAGCCTACACCACCTCTCCTCATCGGCCATCCAGTATTTGTTGGCTCTCTCCTCGTTTCCACAACGGAACCTAGCCACCAACTTTTTCCCTTCCTCATCTCTTTCCAATAACAAGTATCTAGGCAGCCCCTCCGTAATTATGTCCCTGTATCTTTCGTTATACCTTCCCTCTTTTATTTGTGTCCTTCTTTCCTGTCTCTGCACATCTCGGTCCCTGTCTCTCAACTCCCTCCACATCTCCCTACCCACCCTTCGTCTACTATTTATCTCCGTTACCGAGTAGCCCGCTCGTCTATAATAGTTGTCTCTGTGTCCTTTCCCATATCTGACCTTTCCCTCTCTAATTTCCCTCCAACACTCCCCCAGGATCCCGCAGCTTGGCCTCCCTTCTATTCTTTCTTCATATTTCACTGCCCTCCTGCCCGCCTCCACCCTGACCTTATCCACCTTTACCTCTTCCCTCACTATATACCCCGGTGTTTCTCTCGCCACCCCAAGCACCCATCTCCAATATCTAGCCTGCACGTCCTCCAGCGGTCCCTGCTCCCTCCATCCCCATACCTCTGCCCCATACATCATCACACTGCTAACCAGACCTTCAAACATAATCTTCCTCGCTGCCACATTCCTTCCAAAGACTCTCTTCCCCCAACCCCATACTTGTCCCATCACCTTATTCGCCTTTTTTGCCATAGCTATCACATGCGACCCCTCCCTGTTATCCTCCCTAAACACATACCCCAAGTAAGTATACTCCCTAACCTCCTCGATCTCCTTTCCCTCCCATCTCCAGTTTTCTGTTCTTTTTCTCCCACCCTTACAAAACTTCATCATCCTTGTCTTCCCCACATTCACTTCCAGCCCCTTCCCCCTAAAATATCTTTCCAATGTCTTTATCATCTCCTTCATCTCCACCGCTTCTCTCGCCATGACCACGATGTCATCCGCGTATGCTAACATATGCACCTTTCTACCTCCCACCACCAATCCTCCCATCTGCCCCTTCCCCAATCTTTCCTCCAGGTCCGCCGTATACAGTGCAAACAGACTTGGGCTCAGCGGACATCCCTGCCTCAGTCCCTTCGTCGTCCAGAACACGTCGCTCAGCTTATCTCCCACTTTTATCCTAGCCATCGTCTCCATGTATATTTCCTTCACTCTCGCAATTAGGTGTTCCGTTATCCCCCTCCTCCCCATCTCCTCCCACAACTTCCCCCTATCCACCTTATCAAAAGCCGCCTTCAAATCTATAAACAGGGCGTACAATTTCCCTCCCTTCTTATCCAGCTCTCTATCTGCCAAATGCTTCAACACATACACGTTGTCGATTGCTCCCCTTCCCTTCCGAAAGCCTGCCTGCCCATCCGGCAAAATTCCCCCCAACTCCATCTCCTCCTCCAATCTTCCCAGCAGTATCTTCGTGTATACCTTGTATGCCGAGTCTAGTAGGTTAATTCCCCTGTAGCTCTCTACACTTCCCTTATTACCCTTTTTATATACTGGGCAAATTACCCCCACTTTCCATCCCTCCGGAATCCCACCCCCTCTCCATACGATATTCATCCCCTCCAACAACTTCACTCGCACCACCCTTGATGCTTCCAACCATGCTTCGTTATGTATCCCATCTTCACCTGGCGCCTTTCCCTTCTTCAATCTCCTAAGCACCGCCTCCATCTCCTCTTCTGCTATCTCCTCTCCCCCATCTCCGTCATATCCTCCCAACCCCGTTAGCCTCGTTTCAACCCCTCCCAATAATCCCATAAAGTAACTCTTCCATTCTGTCATGTGTATTTCGCTGGTTATCGTCTCCCTACCCTTCTTTCCTTTTTTCATATACCTCCAGACCTCCCCTTCCCTTGTTATCCCCCTAATCTCTGCCGCCTCCTTTTCCTTCAATTCTGTTTTCTTTCTACTTCATAACTCTCTGTATTCTCTCCTGGCTTCCCTATATCTATCCACCCCTATCTTCCCCCGTCTCCACAGCCTCAACCTCCTTCTCGCCTCCCTCTTCGCCTTCTTGCACTCGCCATCATACCAGTCGTTCCTCCCCACTTTGTCCCCCCTACGTACACACTCCCTTTTCAGTGTTGCCTCCCGCACTACCTGGGTAAGCTTTTCCAACCCGTTGATCTCTTGTATCCTCTGTTGCCAAGTGTCTAGGTTTCCCCTGTAGAATGCTACCCCTTCTTCCGACCAATCTGTCCTGATGAACTTGCTACCCAGTTCCGCTCGCCTTCTGCCGCCCACCCCCTTTACCTCCACCTCCAACGGTTGGTGATCCGACTCTACCGCTTCTCCCACTTTAAACCTTTCCACCCTCTCCCACATTTCCCGATCCACCAATACATAATCAATCACAGATGTCCCTCTCGCCCCGATGTAAGTATACTCCCCTTCCTCTCCTTCCTCTTTATTCCCATTCAGTATCTCCCATCAGTTCTCCTCCACCCATCTCAGCATTGAAATCCCCTCCCATTATTATATATCCCTCCGTCCCATCCCCTGCCATCTCATCCCATTGCTTTCTCGTCTCTTTCATTGACTTGCTATACACAGTAACTATCTGCACCGTCTCTCTCCCCCAAGTTGTTACGTTTCTAATTCTAGGTCTAATGTTAGTTCTAGTGACTATATATCACTATGTTGCATATTTTTATTAAACTAAAACTAGTTTTGTATTAGTTCTAGTGATAGTGCTAGTACAAAACTAGAACTAACACTAGACCGAGAACTAGAAATATTCGGATTTAGCCGGAGACGTGCGTCTCTCAAGACGACTAAACCCGAATGATTGTAGTTCCAGGTCTAGTGTTAGTTCTAGTTTTAGTTTAATAAAATATGCAACATAGTGATATCATAGTGCTAGTGATATAACTAGCGCTACCTGCCACTGTCACTAGAACTAACATTAGACCTAGAATTAGAAACATAACAACAATAGAAACTTGAACAAAAAACAGAAGTGATCAGAACAGACGAGACTACAAGCTCCTTATGTTTAAAATTAATTTCTTTTGTCGGTGTACTCCACAGCAAGTTTCAAAGTATAGGAAGAACTGGTCATCATTTTAGGTTGTGCTGAGTGTTGTAATAAATGCAATTTTGCCCCCTTCATTTTAAACTAAACAAGATATAAATTGATCAAATCAATAAAAAAAATTAGCTCGCCATACCACAACCATTATTTACCAGGTACTGTGACATCCCTGGATAAATTTTCTTCGTTTTTCTTTTTCGTTTCCTTTTTTAAGTGTGTCTTACGTTTCTAAATAGCTGCCACAAAAAAAAAATTACGTTTTAGTCCCTCACCTACTTCGTTGGGCGAAGGTAAGTTGCCCAGAAAAAAAAAACGTTAAAAAAATTTTTAACCCTTTTAGTTGTTTTAAGAAAAAAAGCTGCATCCAAAAGTAACGTTATAGATGGTTTAGAATAGAAGAGAATGATGCGTTCTTATTATTTAATTTTAATTTTGACAAAAAAAAATTAATAATTAGGGTGCATGGTTTTGTTGAAATTTGTTTTTGACTTAATTCATTAATTATTGGCGATGATGTTATTGATTAAAATAGAACTTAAATTATTTGTAAATAAAGAAGTGGCTTTAAAAACGAATAATTTGTTTAATTTTTTTTATATCTTTTTTGTTTAGGTTCACGAAGCAGATGCTTGCTTGGTGTTAGCCAATAAATACTGCCAAGATCCGGATGCTGAAGACGCGGCTAATATCATGAGGGTGATATCGATTAAGAATTACAGCGATGATATTCGGGTTATTATTCAATTGATGCAATATCATAATAAGGTAAGACAAAATCAGACAAAGTCGTATAACTGTTATTAATTAATTAAGTTTATTGCTACAAAATCAGCATTACATTCCACAAACAATTAAATTTTAACAATACTACAATTACATATATCACATTACAATACAATACATTTTATTTCCTATCCCACCCCTCCCCATCTCCTCCCCGCATCTCCCTACGCTGCCTTGTCGCCACCACCTCCCTCATCCATTCTCTTCCCTCTGCCCTCTCCCCCAGCACCTGCTTCCAGCCGATCACCTCCTCTCTTAGCTCGTCACACTCCCTCAGTAGGTGCTCCAACGACTCCCACTCCCCCCCACATAGCCTACAACCCCTCTCATCATCTCTCATCCAATACCTATTCGCTCTCTCCTCATTGCCGCATCTGAATCTTGCCACCATCCTCTTCCCCTCCTCATCCCCCTCCACCGACAGGTACTTCGGCAATCCCTCCGTTATTATTTCCTCGTACTTAGGGTTGTACCTGCTCTCCCTTATCTGCCCCCTTCTTTCTTGCCTCTGTACATCTCTATCCCTGCTCTCCAGCTCTTTCCACATCTCAATCCCTTCCCTCCTTCTATCATCTACCGCTTTCACTGAGTACCCCACCCTTCTGAAATATTCCTCCCTCCCTCGTTGCCCGTAACCCCCTTTCCCTGCCTTAATCTCTTTCCAGCACTCCCCCAAAATTTTACATTGAGACCTCCCTTCAACCCTCTCCTCAAAACGTACCGCCCTTTTACCCGCCTCCACTCTTAACTTATCAACCTTCACCTCTTCTCTGACTATGTACTCCGGCGTCTCTTTTGCCAACCCCAAAACCCATCTCCAATACCTAGCCTGTACGCCTTCCAACAGCCCTTGCTCTTTCCACCCCCAAAGCTCCGCCCCGTACATCATAACACTTCTAATCAAGCACTCGAATATCATCTTCCTTTTTCCCATATCCCTTCCAAATAATCTCTCTCCCCACCCCCAGACCTGCCCCATCACCTTATTCGCCTTCTTTGCCATTGCCCTCACATGCGCGCCTTCCTTGTTGTCCTCTCTAAATCTGTACCCCAAATATGTGTACTCCCTCACCTCCTCTATCTCCTTCCCTTCCCACCTCCAGTCTTCGCTCTTCCTTCTACCCCCTTTACAGAACTTCATAACCTTTGTCTTTCCTACATTCACCTCCAGAGCCTTCCCCCTAAAATAACTCTCCAAACTCCGCATCATCGCCTTCATCTCCTTCGCCTCTCTCGCCACTACCACCAAATCGTCCGCGTAAGCCAGTGAATGCACCTTCCTCCTCCCTACAACCACACCTCCCATCTGCCCACCGGTCAATCTGTCTTCCATGTCTGCGGTATACAAGGCAAACAGAGCGGGACTAAGTGGACATCCCTGCCTCAAACCCCTCGTTGTCCAGAACCTATCCGTTAACTCGTCCCCCACCTTTACCCTAGCTATCGTCTCTGCGTATATCTCCCTCACCCTGTTTATTGTCCCACCAGTAATCCCTCTCCTCCTCATCTCCTCCCATAACTTCCCTCTATTCACCTTATCAAAAGCTGCCTTTAGATCTATGAATAGGGCGTAAAGCTTCCCTCCCTTCCCTTCCAGCTCTTTATCCACCAAGTGCTTCAATATGTACACGTTATCTATCGCGCCCCTTCCCTTTCTAAATCCTGCCTGTCCGTCCGGTAAGATCCCTTTCTCTTCCATCTCTTCCTCCAACCTCTGCAGCAGCGCCTTCGCATATATCTTGTACGCCGAGTCCATTAAGCTAATTCCCCTATAACTTTCCACTACTCCCTTCACTCCCTTCTTGTACAAGGGGCTTATTATCGCCGTCCTCCATCCAATCGGAAACCCTTCCCCTTCCCAAACTTTGTTCAGCGCTTCCAACAACTTTCCCCTCACTTCTCCCGTTGCCTCCAGCCATGCCTCATTCTGGACACCGTCCTCCCCTGGAGCCTTCCCCCTCTTTAGTCCCCCCAACGCCGCCTCCATTTGTTCCCCGGCCATCTCCTCTCCTCTCCGTCCCCCTGTATCTACCTCCTCTACCCGCCTCTCTTCTTCCCCCTCCAGCAGACCCTTGAAGTAATCTCTCCACTCCGTCATTTGTATTTCACTGGTAATTTCCTCTCGTACCTTCCTTATTTTGTTTATATATTTCCAAACTTCACCCTCTTGTCTCACCCTTCTAATCTCTTCCGCCTCCCTCCATATATAATATATAACAGTATAACTGTTATTAATGTTATTAAAATACAGTTGTATATTTAGCAAAGATGTGCAGGATAACTATAAATTTTAATCAATAATTCTTCTTTTCAGGCTTACTTATTAAATATACCATCATGGGATTGGAAACAAGGTGATGATGTAATCTGTTTAGCTGAATTAAAATTGGGTTTTATAGCTCAATCGTGTTTGGCACCTGGTTTTTCAACGATGATGGCAAATTTATTCGCGATGAGAAGTTTTAAAACGGTAAGTTTAATAAACAGGTGCTCGCCCCCCATTTCTGATTCTTTTCGTTAAAAAAAATGTTTTTCTAAAATGTTTGGATTCACCGTCGGAGATTTGGGTATAAATAAAATACAAATATTGGGTGCCGTTAAAATGTTCGAATAAAATGTTCTTTGAAATGTTTTGATAAAATTGAAATTTCCAGTCACCCGGTATGCAGGTGTGGACGAATGATTACTTGAGAGGAACCGGGATGGAAATGTACACAGAGACCTTAAGTCCCACGTTTATAGGCATGCCTTTTGCGCAGGCTACAGAGTAAGTCGCGAAAAAAATTTCAAAGGCCAAAAAAACTATTTCACTTGAGTATAAAAAAGAGATGATTTTTAAATCCAGCTTTCTTTAAATCGCAAATATTTACTCTAAAATATACCAACTATTTTAAAAGCTTATGTGTTTTTGCCTTCAGTGTGTCTCCAAATCACTTTTTCACCAACAAAAAATTACGTGTACAAAAATAATAACTTTTAAATCTGTTTTCTTTTTTTAAGGGAAAGAAATATTTATTCCTCTTGTAGTACGTCTCGTTTCAGCCTCGCACCTCTTAATTATTATAAAAAAAGAAGTTTTAAAATTCTTAAAATTGTTCTGTGGCACTATTGTTGTCTTTTCCAGTCCCCTGACACTCAGGTGTGGCAGAATGACTATCTGCAGGGAACGGGTTGCGAGATGTACACAGAAACGTTGTCCCCCTCGTTCACCGGCATGACATTCCCTCAGGCGAGCGAGTAAGAACCTCACCTGAACAAACAATTACAACTAATTAACTAACAAAATATACAAACAAAAAATTTTTTTACTAAAAACTTACTATCAACTATTTTTTCACTACAAACACTTCTCAATCAATACTGTTTTAGAAAAGAAATTATTTTTTTTGAACTTGCCTTTTTGATACATTAAAAATTATTTCTTTTAGTAATCATTTTTAATCATGTGTTAAGCGCGCCAGTATCCAGCAAATAACCGCGTATATTCAGTTTGCGATTTCTCAAATTCCCCAAACAAATATGAACTATATATACAGTATTCTCCAAGCTTCTATGAGGAGAGTACCAAAGTGGATTTCGGCCAGATCTTGGAGAAAAACTTAGAACATAAGATCGACTTCAAATCTGCATATGACAACTTGAAAGAATGGCAATGAGAAACGAGAGATGCTGGTTAAAACCCCAAAATAACATCTCAAAGAATATAGGAATAACTAAAGAGATACTTCAGGACAAACTGCTCGCTTACACGGGCGACATTAACACCGTCGCGTCGCCAGAACTCTACCGCAGATGGTGGGAACTTATACAGCACTGATAGACTCATTCAACAGCTATTCTCATTTACCGTTTTGTCGTCCTCGACGTTTAGATGTACATAAACACGCAATAGCCAAAAGGGAATTTGATCAGATGGTAGCCATGGGAATATGTCGACCCTCTTCTTCTTCAACAGCATCGCCTCTACACATGGTCCCCAAAAAGGATTCCAATGATTGGAGACCATGTGGAGATTATCGACAATTAAATAACGTTACTATTCCGGACCGATATCCCCTTCCACATATTCAGGATTTCAACTTACATTTGAATGGATGCAAATTTTTTTCAAAAGTGGATTTAGTAAGGGCATATCATCAAATTCCGGTGGAAGAAGAAGACATTCCCAAGACAGCTATCACTACTCCTTTTGGTCTTTTCGAGTTTACTCGTATGCCCTTTGGCCTCCGTAACTCAGGTGGCTGCTCAGACCTTTCAGAGATTCATAAATGAAGTTCTTTCGGGTCTCAACTTCTTATTCGTTTATTTAGATGACATTCTCATTGCAAGTCATAACGAAGAAGAACATTATTTACATCTCGAGAAGTTATTTGAACGGTTAAGTACATTCAATATCAACATCCAACCATCTAAATGTGTTTTTGGAGTTACTTCCATTGATTTTCTTAGCCATCATATCACTAGCGATGGTATTCAACCTTCTAAGTCTAGGATTGATGCTATTTCAAAATTTCCCAAACCAAAAACATTGAAGGAACTACAAAGATTTTTGGGCATGATTAATTTTTATCATAGATTTTTACCGAACATTTCTAATATTTTATCACCCCTTCATAATCTTTCATCATCGCTTTATTCAATTAAACAAAAATTAATAACATCTTGGTCAGATGAACATGAAATTTCCTTCGCAACAGCTAAAGATCTTCTAACGAAATCTACCGTTCTGGCTCATCCATCTCCTCACGCTTCGCTGTCACTTACCACAGACGCTTCTAATACAGGTATAGGAGCAGTTCTGAGCCAAATTATTGATGAAACACCGCAACCATTAGCATTTTATTCACATAAACTTTCTCCAAGTCAAGTTAAATATTCAACGTTCGACAGAGAGCTATTGGCAATATATTCTGCCATAAAATTTTTTAATCATTTCCTACACGGAAACAATTTTACAGTTTTCACCGACCACAAACCTATAACTACGGCAATATTTTCATCAACAGAAAAAACACCACGACAAACCAGGTACCTAAATTACATAACACAATATACATCCGATGTGAGATACATTAAGGGAAATTCCAATATTGTTGCAGACGCTTTGTCCAGGACAAATATTGAATCCCTAAATTCTCAGTACCCCGACACACTTACACTTTACAAAGCTCAAGTCACAGATATCGAATTGTCGAACCTACTACATAAACAATTTTCTCACACTCACACTACAACACCCTATCAGTTATTGCTACAACCCACAACGCTACCTGATATCAAATTATGGTGTGAAATATCAACGGAATCTCCGCGAATCTACATTCCGCAGCAATTTAGAGAAATAGTTATACAAAAATTTCATGGTTTATCTCACCCTGGCATTCGAGCAACCATTCATTTAATAAAAACAAAATTCTTTTGGCCTCATATGTCGAAACAAATTCGTATTTGGACAAAATCATGTTTACAATGCCAGAAAGTTAAGATACAAAGGCATACAAAATCGCCAATTCTCAAAATCAAAGTTCCAAAAGTTCGATTTGAACACATTCACATTGATTTGGTTGGCCCACTTGTTCCATCTCTTGGATGTACTTATCTGCTCACAGTCATTGAGCGTTTCACACGGTGGCCAGAGGCTTTTCCTCTAAAAGATATCTCTGCAGCCTCTATTGCAGATACTCTTTTCAGGCATTACTTCAGCCGTTTCGGTATTCCTACCATGATCACTCACGATCAAGGACGACAATTCGAATCACTATTATTTTCAAAATTCCAATTATTTTTAGGTACTCATCAAATACACACATCTGCTTATCACCCACAAAGTAACGGTATGATTGAACGATTTCACCGTACTTTGAAATCAGCGATTATTGCTCGAGGTAATTCTACTAGATGGAACAATGACTTGCCTTTGATTCTCCTAGGTCTCAGGTCATCCCTAAAGGAGGATTTAGGTTGCTCATCCGCTGAATTGGTTTATGGTCAGCAACTCAGATTACCAGGAGAATTTTTCTTACCTACCGAACCATCAATTGAAACTGAACCATTATTATCACGTTTAAAATCATCTTTTGCTGACATTAAACCAGTTCAGTCAACCATACATTCCAGCCAAAAACCTTTTGTTCACAAAGAATTATTCAGGTCAAACTTTGTATTTGTTAAAATTACTGGAATTAAACCTACGTTGTCTCCTAGGTACGAAGGTCCCTTCAGAGTGTTGAAGAGATTTTCAAAATTTTTCGTTGTATTGAAAGACAGTAAAGAAATAAATGTAAGCCTCGATTTGCTGAAACCGGCTTTCTTTCTGAACGAAAACGTTTCTCCTGAAGTCAACAATTTAATAATTAATAAAACTAAAAAAGTACATTTTAAATTTTAATTCAAATTTTTGACTAAATGTTTTCCCTCTTTCTGTTCTTTCTTTATAGGAGGGGAAGTGGATGTAGCGTGCTGTGGCAGCAGCTCCATTTAAAAACATAAAATTGTATTTCATTTGTTATTATTTTTATATTTGCCACACAATTGTTTTTGAAGCAAAACATAACAGACGCAAAATAAAAAGTCTGCCAAAAGTTAATTTTATTATTATGTTGGCTAATACCTCATAGCCACAACCTCCAAATAAATTAACAAAAATCAAAGGTCATGCCAGTAGCTACCTCAACGAGTATCATTGATGATCTCAGAGAGAATCTTGCAATCACCACTGAAAATTTCAAAGTGGGAGTTTTCGTATCTTGGTTCTAGCATGAGCTGAAAGAATGAACTGTAGCACAGAAGTGAGCTCGACAACAAGTGCTAATGTGTTGACGTTAAGATATGGACAACTAGCAAAGGAGACGTCGACCTCCTGCTCCTGTTCCGAGTAGGAAAACCAATTCTGTTTGGACTTTTAACTTAAACAGTGGGCCAAACAATAAGAAAAAAAGGCGGTAGTGCAAAAACTGTTAGGACTTCAGAGAATATAGAGACTGTACAAGTAGCGATAGTAAGAAGTGCTCGAAGATCTGCAAGGTGTCATAGCGTTGTTCAAGGACTTTCGATTAGATCAGCAAAATTTTTAAATAATGATTTACACCTACATCACCTAGGTTTCTGGGCTGGCTTCAGCCGAGGTCGCTTGCGGCCGAGGCTCTGGGATGTATTGAACATATTCAGGTTAATACAGCATTAATCATTGAGCCTCAGCCGTAAGCGACTTCGGCTTAATTAGACGAAATCGTCTATTTCTATCATAACCATGCGAAATCATAGATTCTCGGTTGTAAGTATAGCCGAGGTCGCTTGCGACCGAGGCTCTGTAGGGTGTTGTACATTTTTGGGTTCATACAGCATTAATCATTGAGCCTCGGCTGGAAGCGACTTCGGCTTATTCAAATGATATGATTAGGGCACGGAACTTTTGTAACAAAACACGATTTCCCCCCTCCACTCGTTCTCAGCAGAAAATTTCATACAAAAGTTGTTCTAAATTAAATTCTAAAACCATTTTTTCAATAAAAATATATATATAAAAATTTTTTGAGGCTATGTTCTTAATTATTGATCAAATCAAAAATTTTTATTAATAACATTTGTTTAGAATTACTTCAGGAACAGTGTTTGTTAATAAAATTTTTTGCTAACTTGAAATTTTAATTTCCCTCTGAATAGTATGCTATCAAAATTAATTATCTCAATAATTATTGTTTTTATCAAAAAATGTTTTAAATAAAATTTGTTTCAATTTCGATTTTGAATCAATTATCTTAATAAAAAAATTTTACATCTCTATTAATTAAGCATCTAAGTGTAATTATGTATAAAAGTGGAAAAATTATTATTTTCAGGTTATCTCTTTAATTATTGATTAAATCAAAAAAAATTGTTGACAAAGTTTGTTTAGAATTGTTTCAGGAACAATTTTTGTTAAAATAATTTTTTTCTAACTTGAAATTTTAATTTCCCACTGAACAGTATGCTGTTTTTTAATCAGAACGAGTGGAGGGGGAAATCGTATCGTTTTGTTACAAAAGTTCCGTGCCCTAGATATGATACAAACAGACGATTTTATCTAATTAAGCCGAGGTTGGTTGCGGCCGAGTCTCTGCAATGTGTACCAGATTCAAATAGTCCATACTTTGACACCACAAGATTATGTTATTCGGCTTGATTTTTGTGACCGTATGCTACAGATGTTTAAGACAACTCACAGCTCATCGATAATTTATGGATCAATGGCGAAGCTCATGTTCAGTTAATAAACATAATTTTCACTATTCATCGATATTTCATCAAGCTTCATCTGAGCTTGTGTGACTATGTTTTATGGAGAAACTCAAGTCTAAAGTGTATGAGGTACGCCTAGCAACAATAGTGCGGATTGAAGATGAAATTCGCGATATTCATCGCTCCTCAAACTGAAAATCCTTTATTTTATGCATATATCTGCTGGATACATGCGCGATTATCGGAGGGTTAAATACATTCTAAACCATTTTAGATTAAATTTAAACATAGCAAAATTAGATTAGACCTTTTAAATAAATTAGCCTAAATTAGTCCAATTTAGATTTTCAATTTTCAAACAAAAAAGATAACAACCCAATCCATAATAAATTAAATAGATTACAACAATCCCCAGCAAAAGTCACTTTGAACACTCTTTCAAGCATGTAAACACAAAAAGAAAAAAAAAACTATAATAACACCTTGCTTGTTTTGTGAATGTTTCCTTTTCTTTACCTGCTTTCGATTTGATAACCTTACATTTTGGTGGCTTGAATTTGAAGCTTTAAACATATTAACTAATACATTGGGAAATGTTTGATGGTATTTTAAAATGAATTTTTTATCCAGATTATGTTTCACAAAATTAAAATTGCTCCTCCTCGCAATTGAAGTGAAAGGAGTCGAAGGTGCGGATACGAAAATCTCGATAAATCCGAGGGGGGCGAAAATTCAAGCGAACACGCAAGGATTTTTTATTGCTCAATCGGCAGATGAAGTTAAAAGGTTAAATTGTTGTAATTTCGATGATCATGTGTATGATTATTTTTTAATTATCAGAGCTTGGTTTTATTGTAAAGCCTGTCACGATGACATCAAGGATGAGACGCTGATCAAAAAATGCAAATGCAAAAACTGTGAGTAACTTAAAACAATTTTTTTATATGAAAAAATTTTACAATAATAATCGGGAATATTTATTAATTAATTCCCCAGTTATTAAAACGTTTTTGTTTCAAAATATATTCGCTCCTTTATATTTAAACTATCCTAATTTTTATTTAATTTTATTCCTCCTTTTCTGTGTGTGATTAAACCTAAATAAGTCTTCATTTACTTCTTTACAAATAAACCCAAAGCGACTAAAGGGTTTTTTTGAAATATTTGTTGTGAGTTTTTGATTTGAGTGTTTTCATTTTATTTCCAAAATCTCCCCAAACGAATAATATTTCCAACAACGTACAATTTTTTTAAATGTTCCAATTTAATTTATTTAATTGACTTGAGATCACTTTTAGTGGCAGCGCAACATCGAAATTGGTCACACGAATTAGGTAAATGCTGCCCGTAAAACCGATTTCTTAATTATTATTCTATTGCCGCCTTAATTTTTTATTAACAATTTAATCCTTTAATTTTTTGATAGCCCTTTTTTCTCATATTGTAATTTTTTATTAAAATAGAATCTTTTGAAACGCTTGTCCTTTTTTTGGAAAGGCAATATTAGTTAATTTTTGGTCTGTCCGCGATTGTATTCTAACCTCTCTTGTGCATCAATTTCTTCTTTTATCTTTCTCTGTCAGATATAATCACCAGACACCTTTTTTATTGTGTGTATGTTCCTTCACACTTCTTGCTACATTTATTTTTGGTATGTTGTAGTTCATCAATTATAAATATTTATATATTTATGACACTATGAATATCAATCCGAAAAGATTTTCATATTTACTTTTATAATTAGATTTTGTTTGTAAATACTTGGAAAATTATTTTGCAACAAAACTTACCGATTTTTCTGTTTGTTTGGTTATGAATTCCATTAATATGTTCTGTTAGTGGAAGATCACCTTTGAAATTCGGGGGTAGTCTAGAAATCACGGGAATCAACAAAATAAAAGAAAAACCGATAAACATCTTGATCAAATTGGAGTATGTAAGTAATGATTAGGGCACGGAACTTTTGTAACAAAACGACACGATTTCCTCCCTCCACTCGTTCTCAGCAGAAAATTTCATACAAAAGTTGTTCTAAATTAAATTCTAAAACGATTTTTTCAATAAAAATATATATATAAAATTTTTTTTGACGTTATGTTCTTAATTATTGATCAAATCAAAAATTTTTATTAACAATATTTGTTTAGAATTACTTCAGGAACAGTGTTTGTTAATACAATTTTTTGCTAACTTGAAATTTTAATTTCCCTCTGAATA